GCTCCAGCCCCTGCCTCCAGGTTCCTGCCCTGAGTTCCTATCTTTGGCTCCCTGATGAACTGCGTGTGACCTGGGAAATGTAAGACAAATAAACCCTTTCCTCCCCAAGTTGGTACTGGTCAGAGTGTTTTGTCACAGCAATGAAGAACAAACTAAGACACTGATCCTTGTGCCTTAGTCTCTGAGGTGCTAGGGTTGCAGCCCTCTACGACAATGCTCTGGTTTAACTACTGTTACTTTGAGGCTATGTTAAGAAGAATGGGGCAGAGGTGGGGTTAGTTGGGAGGGTTTAGACATGGTTGTGGGGTTTTTGCCCTTCTGCCTCCCTCCCCTTCCTTGCTTTTATCTTTCCCCTTTTTTTCTGTGGTATGAAGGGGGGCGTCCCACATTTGGCAAGTGCTTTACCACTAAACTTCATCCAGAGCCTATGGTCATACTTTCAGTGACCAACTCTGGCCTGAGGCTGGATCATCACTGGAAGGGAGCAAGCTTGTAAGAAGGGCTGGGGCATGGGCCAGGCATGGTGGCACATGCCTTTAATCCCAGTGCTCAGGAAGCAGAGGCAGGTAGATCTCAAGGCCACAGAGTTCCAGGCCAGCTGGGGCTATAGGGAGACCCTGTCTCAAAAAGACAAAAAGGAAAAGGGCTGGCACAGCAGTTCTACCTACAAGCAAGTGGGCCCTGCACAGTAAAATGAGACTACACCTATGTGATCCTTGTGAGCCCCGTCCATAGCAGTTCATAGAAAAGAATCTAAGAATTGAGACCATTGGGCTTACATAGTCCACATTCTGCCCAGTGGGGTGCTGCTGCACAACCTGCTTGATGCGACCAGGGATCTCTGCCTCAGATAAGAACAGGTGAGAAGACAGCATTATGGCTCTGGAGTCTAAGTGGACTCAATTTCCATGACTTTCGCTTCCTGGCTTTGTGGCTCGGTAAGTGACTTAACCTTTAAAACCCCATTTTCCCTGTCTGTAAGATTATATCCTGCCCCAGAGGGTGGTTGGAGAATTAAATGAAAAAAATAAACATTAAAGGGCCAACACAGAGTCATGCAGACCAACAGTCGTGTTGCCACCAGCTCCCAGTGTCCCCACTGGTCCAGTGTCCCCACTGGTCCAGTGCAGAAGTGGAGGTCAAAATTGAGACTGCAAGTCCCCAGCTTTCAGAGGGATGGGCTGGACATGGGAGAGACCTGCTGACCAGCCCCGTGCCTAATTACAGAACAAAGATGACTGAGATAGGATCAAGAAGCCCCGAGCCAGGCCTGGACACAGCCAGTGCTTGACCTTCCCTGATTGTTTTGTTTCCCAAGTTTCATTCTTTTTACCTCCCTCCCTCCCCTTCCCGCAGTGTGAACAACCCTCTACCCTCAACCTTTCAAGACTCTTAATTGATGCTTTTAAACTTTTTTCTTTATTTAGACAGAAAAGACCAACTCTTTTAAAATGCAATAAATAAATAAGTGAAGTGTAGAGAACCGTCAGAAACTGACTCCCCATCTCCCCTTTATCATTCCCACCCCCACCCCATTTTCTTTTCCCTAGCCTCTTCCTAAAGAAAATGATCAGGTAATAAACCCATTTAGCCCTCCCTACACCCCTCCTCCCAAATACCCAATTACCCCCAAAGCAAAGGGAGAAATCAAAAAAGAAAAAAATCCAAGGGCAACATTGTCTAAACTCCCAGAAAGAGAGATGGCAGCGTCTGGCTGGGTGGGCTGGGTCACACCCTGGTAGTCATGGTATTTACACAGAGGAGCCAGCAGAGACTGTAAACATTTTTAGGGGTTCAGGGGAAGGTCTTTTCCTCATAAAAGGAGGGTCTCTGTGACTGGCAGAGAGGCAGCCCTCAGGGGCCCCCACACCCTCCGTGGAGGGGGGCTTTGGGGGAGGCAGTGAGTTTTAGGGCTGGGAGCCCCAGGGTCCAGGGATATCCTACCTCTAGCTGAGGGTGGAGGGAATGTGAAATCCAGCTTCTGAGAAGCCCCAACTGCGGGGAAGAGGCTGGGGTAAGGGCGCTGGGGGAGAGGAGGCCCCACTGTCCTCCTGGGTCTGTACAACTGTGACAGGCCCACTGGGGAGACAAGTGCGAACAGTGGGCATGGAGGCCCATCTCAGGAGCCCTAGCAGAAGGCAGATCCCCCAGAACCTTCAAGCCCATTCCTTGCTCCCTCACAAAGGCCAAAAGGGCACCTGGGAGGAAACACGCTCTTGGAGCCAGGGAAGCAAAGCCATGGCCCTTCAGAGAGGCAAGGTGGTGGAGGTGAGCCAGGTCCTGGCCCCCAGGACCATGAAGCAGCTTTTGCCCTAGAGCCCAATCAAGGCTCAGGGCCGATGTGCAGAGAGGCCAGGGGCCAGTCATGGGAAGAGGGTGTGAAGTGCCCCTTCCTCTGGTATCTCCAGACCTGTGAAGGAAGGAAATAGGGGTGAAGCACAGGGAAGATGGCCAGTACTGGTCACAGGCTCTGGGGAAGGGGAGGTGACAGGGTGGGTGATGATATATAACAGGGCTGCCTGATTAAGGCAGGCCATCAGAAAGGCTTGTCCCAACAGAACCATCTGGTACCCACCCCCCAGCTGTGAAAGCATAGGGCAGGGATAGAGGAAGGAAGAGGGAATGAACAGTATAGAAATTAAAGGGTATTAGGAAGGAAAGAGTCAAAAATAGACTGGAAGGTGGAGTCAGAGACCTAGATGGGGGAGAGGCAAAGAAGCAAGACAGGCAGGCAGAGGTGACCAGAAGGGGGGGTGCATGGCGGAGACAGACACCTGGAGAGGGGGAGCATCCGCAGAGGCTGGGGTGACCCAGGAGGGGCTTAGGGATGGAGTCTCATGGAGTGAGACCACTCCCAGCCATTAGGTAGTGCTCTCATTCCTTATTGGAAAGGAACAAAGAAAGCAAGAGAGAAATGCACAAAACACAGACCACAGTCACCAACACTGTTGACCAAGCACATCCCGCGAGCTGCCCCCGACCCTGACCCTGGGCTGGAGGGCGCTTCCCTCCACAGCCCCTCCCCAGATAACAAACAATCGGCTCCAAAGACAACACGCTCGTTCCATGCAACTTACAGGGGCCCGGAGCAGGGGTCCGGGGATGGGGGCTTCAGCCGACAATGGACACGGGCCCTGGGCTGGGGGCCCCCAGGGTGGGGGGAGTTAAGCAGCCAGGATTGGGGGGAAAGGGGAGAAACAGAAATGTGGGTATTGTTCTTGGGTTGTGATTTTTCAAGGTTTGGTCCAAAGGAGATTAAGCAACTCAAAAGTAGCCAGGCTCACAGATCTGAGGCCCTGAGGTTAGGATGGTGGCCTGTACTGGGGATGAGGGGCCCTGCTGAGCAAAATTTATGGGCAATGTGGTATTCCACTTCCTCCACTAAGATAAGCCAACACCCACACCCATCTGTGCTGTGCTCTCCTGCCCTGGTTCCATTGCTAAGTAAGAAAAGCACCCAAAGTCCAGGGCAACCAGGAACTAGTGTGTCTCCACTTCTCGGGAGAACAGATTCCAAAGCCACATAACTCTAGGACCCTCTGGTACTCTAAACCAGCCTGCTGGCTCCCAAATTTACTCTTTTTAATGCCATCCAACCCAAAGGAAAACCAGAAAGAAAGACAGACACACAGACACTGACCAGACAAAGAAGACCAGATATTGTGGAAAATCTGGGAGCAGACACAGATACAGACTTGGCTCTTTCTGGGATCGCTTTGTGTGTATATGTGCACATGAGCATGTGTGTAAGGAAGACATGATTGATTAAACAACAGTTGAAGGCACTCCCCAGATCCTAGTTCTCATGCCCAGCACTGGGGGTGAGGGTAAGTACCCCTGAGGGTGGTAGAAGGGTGGGGGCCCCGGCTTGAGGGCCCTGTCAGCATTGTGTAGAGCCTGGAGAGGAGGGCACAGGGCAAGAATAGCACCCACCTGAAGCCCTAGTAGGGCCGGTTTGCATCCTTAGGCCGCTTTAGCTGGACTTTGAGGCGCTTCATGCCAATCTGGAAACCGTTCATGGCCTGGATGGCAGCCTGGGCACTGGCCGGATTGTCGAAACTCACAAAGCCTGAGGTGAGAGGGGCATAAGGCCCGGCCCAGTCTGGCCCTACCTCGATGTCCTGCCATAGGGCCAGGACCTGTTGTTTGATTTCCCAGCACCTCCCTACTTCCTTGAAGCATCTATAAAGCACCTAGAAAACTGCCTGGCACATAGTAGGCATTCAAAAAGAATTTTTTGATGATGGATTTAATGAGTGAGTCCAGTCCAGCCATTCACACAAACTAGGCCACGCTTTCTAGCGTTCTGTTCAGGGCAGCCCCTTCCTCAGCCTGGAAATTCTCTGGACCTGCCTTTTGAAAATCCTCAATGGCTTTTGAAGTAAGGCCCTGAAGCAGGTTTCCACAGATGTGAAAATAACTAAAACCTATGTCCTTTTGAAACCCAGTATCCCCAGACCACCTCATGAAGTGGATTTGGCTGGCTTTTTTGTTTGTTTGCTTTGTTTTTGTGCTAGAGATGAATCCCAGGGTCTCATGCGGCCCAACATGCATTCAGATCGCTGAGCTCATCTCTAGCCCCAAAGCTGGTTCGTAAGGACAAGGATGAAGCTGTCGCTTTCTGCAGAAGAGATGGGCCTGGATGTCAACCGTATGGAACGATGGGTGTGTTAGAAATGGTGCTCTCATGGCCTTGGACACTCTGGGTTGCAAATACTGAGTTCACGGAGACCCTAAATGCCTTCAAACATGTCAGACTTTGTTCTAATATGGAGTCCACACAAAATGTCCATACTCTGTCTTTTGGATCAGCATATTCTTACCAAAACATTTGCTCTGATTGGTGGCCCGGTCAACAAAGACTTTGGCTGAGATGACATGGCCAAAGGGGACAAACATCTGGAGGATCTCTGAGTCCGTGAACTCCTGGGGCAGATGGTAGATGAAGATGTTGCAGCCATCAGGGCCTGGGTGGCAGCAGAGACAGGAGGAAGAGCTCAGTGACTGGCAAGTGCAGACCGTAGCAGCAGAGATGCCAGGGAAAGCCGCTGGGGGAGCATCTGCCAATCCTGGCCCCCGGCAGTGTGGGCCAGGGCTCACCACTCCTTTCATTCCCACACATGGGGCCAGAGCTGAGCTTGGCACAGCGATCTTGAGTACCCATGCCCATAATAAGGGTGTTCCTATCCCTGCAGGCACGCAGCTATGAGGACCCCACCCCAGGCTGGCACCTTCTCGCTGCTGTTGCTGCTGCTGCTGTTGCTGCTGCTGCTGTTGCTGCTGCTGCTGCTGTTGTGGTGGGGGCGGGGGCTGCTGGGCAACCAGGGTTGGTGGCTGCGGGAAGGCAGGGGCAACCAGGCTGTAGGCTGCAGGGTAGGCTGCTGGGGTGGGGAGAACAGAGAGAGCCAATGGGGTTCCCTTGACTCCTTCCAGGCAGCCTTGTCTCCCTCCCTAGCCCAAGCCAATGGAATCCATGAGCCTGAGAGGTTAACTGGAAGGAGCCACCTCAGACTGCCCCCTGGGTGTGCTTCCCACTTCCCCCCAACATCCATTCTCACAGGTACAGTTTGCCTTGTCAGGAAAGCCTAAGGATGTGGTTGGCAGAGAGCCCAGAAACTTAGATCTGGTTTCTGGCCCTCTTTACCTCATGCCATCACTCCCACCTGGGCAGAGGCCTGGGCCAGGGTGCCTCACCTGTGTAGTGCTGCATCCCTGCGTAGGCCTGCTGGAGGGGGTCCACAGGGGCCGCAGGGCTCTGGGCTGGGGAGAGCATCACAAACCTTGAGTGGGCCTCGGACACAATGGGAACCCCACCAACACCTCTCTCAGCAGGCAAAGCCTCATCTGGGATGGAGGTAAAAGGAGAGGGGGCGATATATATATGGAAGAAGGTGAAGAGCCCAGTGTTGGAAAGACAAGTCTGACTGACTTGCCATCCAGGCCAAGTGACTTTACCTTTCTATAATCCTCAGCTGCTCAAGCCAAGAAACAAAGGAGCATCTCGGCCCAGGAAGACAGAGCAAGAAAAAAGCACTTTGAGCACTGCCTGAGGCTGGAAAGGGAAGGTGTGCCATGGCTGCTGGTAATGGGAACAGTGGCCTGGATGGCTTTACAAGGCGAGATGGGCAGGCAGAGAGCCCCACCTGGATAAGGGTGAACCCCGTTGGGATAGAGAGCATCGGGGGCAGGCTGCCCGGTAGGCTGGGTGGGCACTGGGCTGTAGCCGTTGACACCCAGGGCAGCAGGAATGGCAGAGACGGGCGTGGCAGCAATGGCAGGGGGCGTGCTGGTTCCTAGGGAGGAGAAAATGGCAGAGACAGAGCAAGGACACACACAGATGCAGCAGAGAGCCAGTCAGCAAGTCTGAAGGCAGAGGGGAGACAGCAGGCCACTCTGACCCTGAGCCCCTTCTGGATCCCACTGCTTCCCTTACTGCCATCGCACTGAAGTCCCCTGCCCAGTCCTGGTTGTACCTAACCCAGACTGCCTTGAATAGGCCTTACCTGAGGATGGGGTGATGGGGGTGGCGATGAGGCCATTGGCATTGATGGCAGCCATGTGCTGCATTTGCACAGCAGCCATGGTGGCCATAGGACTGAGGTAGGCACTGTGAGCTGCTACCAGGGCCGCTTGCTGCTGCATCAGCTGGAGGAGTGGGAGAGGAGAGTGGCCCCCTTGCATGCCCGTGTCTCCCTCCCAACCTCATGCTTTGGTGCTGAAGGGTGGACCCCAAGGGACATGGAGATGAATAGGTCCAGCACTGGGAGCATGCTTACGGCCTGGGTGTAGGCGCTGTAGGCTCCAAACTGGAGGGCAATGGGGCTAAACATGCCCAGCTGGGTGGCCACCTGCTGCATCCGGCGGAGACCTCGCTCCTTCTCTGTGTCAGCAAACTTCACCACCAGACTGGATGAGGCACCCTGGGCATGGGCCCAATACGAGGGCACAGCAAGAGTCAGCATCTGATCCCCAGGGTCCTGGGCACCTGGCCTCAGTCCTATCATTATGGCCTGGCCTCTTTGGGAGCACAGCCACTAGTTTGCCTGTTCCAAATGGGGAGGTCCTAATCCCTGCCCTAGGATGTGAAAAAGGCTGGAGAGAGTTAAGAATGAAGGGAAGCACTCTAAAACTGAAAGGCCTGTGGCAAAGGAGGGGCAGCTCTGAGAGGACTTTGCACTGGCAATCTCAGTGCATCAACCACAGCAAATGTTAATCTCACCTTGTAGCTGCCCCATCTCCCTGAAATGACTCTGGCCCCACACCCCAGGCCTCACGGTATGCTCAGTGGATGCTGCCTCACATTAATACCAGCCTGAGCAAAAAAAAAAAAAAAATCCAACTTGGAACCTTTGCAAGGATTGTCATAGAATCCTAGACTCTCAGAGCTCAAGGGGCCTGGGATCAGCTGATGCAGTTCACTGTCTGATACTGAGTCTTCTTCCTGGACAATGCCTGTCTCTGCTAGAGAACTTCGAGTTGTAGGAGACATCTGTGCATCCTTTGGAGCCAGTAAGTTTAGTTCCAGCTAGGAATTCCAGAGTGCGTTCAGCTAACACTCAGGGGCAGCAGACTCAATGGGCCATACAGGGCCTCTAAGCAAGAGTCCTGATACCCCAGATAATGAGGTGGGAGAGGACAAGAGTCCTGATACCCCAGATAATGAGGTGGGAGAGGAAGAGAAGACATGGGAGATGAAGAGTGGAGGGCAGAAAGGAAAGTGGGGGCATTTGGACTGAAGATGGAGTAGGCCCGGGGAAAGCTGTTTGGTTCTTCTGTAGGAACTTTAAATATATATACTTAAAGTCCTGTCCTGAGTGGACTCCTGCTCTGTGCCAGGGCCTGGTGAGTGGGCCACTGGGAAGGAGAGGCAAGGGAGGAAGGGAATGGGGCTCACCGGCAGGGTCCGGCTGCTGTGAAGGGTGTTGATGGCTGCCTGGGCCTCAGCATGAGTCTGGAACTTCACAAAGGCACAGCCTAGAGTGGTCAGGGTGGAGGAGGAGAGGGGTGAGTGCCCACCATGAAGGCACCCTTGGGGACCGGTGGGGAGAGGGTGGGTGGGAGGGCTACCTTTGCTGGTACCATCTGGCCCCCGGAGCACAGTGCACTCGTCTATGGTCCCAAATGGTTCGAACATCTTCCGGACGTCCTCATCTGTCTGCTGCTTCCCTAGCATCCCCACAAAGAGCTTCCGGTCTTCTGGCGGGTAGGGCGTAGGAGGGGCATGTTCAGAGCTTCCTGGCCACTCTCCCAGCCCCTCCCTTCCACTCATCCCTATTGCTCCGGTCACTACTTCCCCCATCCTGGGGAACAACAGGAAGTACTCGGCTCTGAAGGACTTGCATTCTACTTGACCTCAGTTTTGCCATCTCTACAATGGGCCAGATCTCACCCCCTGACACTACGCTGAATCACTCCTATTCCCAACCTTGGCAGAGGACTCTTCTGAATTATTAGACATCCTTCCTCAAGAACGGCTGCCCTTCAGCTCCTCCAAGCCCTAGGCCTGGGGTAGGATGGGAGAGACTGAAGCCAAAGGTATAGAACCTACCTCCTCGACTCTCGCTGTCTGCTGGCTTGACTTGGATCGGCCTGTTCATCTATAGGAGAGAAAAGAAGGTAGCTGCTATGTCCTCTGAACACCTAAGAGCCCTCATCTGAGGGAGCAGCCCTCAGATGCAGGCAAAGTTGCCCCAGCCTTCAGAGTTGATGAGGAGGAAGGGGCAGGCCAGTCTTGTCTAGGATTAAGACCTGAGGTGATTAGAGGCGGTGGAGAGAGGGGCTATGGAGGAAGATGCTCATGGGGTGCAGCTCCAGGCTCAGGTTGGCCTAGAAATGCCTGGGCCATGGACAGGCGCTGCCCTCCTTAGAGGAGAGAGGCTTGCCCCTAGAACCCGGTCCTGAGTCGGAGCACAACAGAGGGGTTATTCAGCCAATCACCTCCATCCTGTAAAGTAGGAGCATCAGAGGCCACCCCATGGAGAAACCCAAGGAAGGCTCTAGACTGAGAAGACCCCCACAGAGGCCCAGACTTCCTTGTGACCACTGGAGGTGTGTCTGCCTCTCTCTCTGGTCCCCTACACCCCTTGACCCCAGGGGGAAGGCACTCGGGCAGCACAAAGGGAGCAGATGCCCAGTCTCCGTGGCAACGGAAGAATGCGCACCATGGCAACCGCCCACTCAGCCTGATTTATCCGTCCCCGTCGCCCTGGCGACCGTGGTGACGTCATCACTTCTGCTGCTCTACACACCCAGAGAAGGACTGGGGAGAGGGGTGGGAAAGGGGTATGCTGGGGGTGGAGGAATGGGTGGGGGCTGGGAGGTGGGGGAGGGGTCCAGGAAAGCTTCCTGGTCCTGGAGGAAGGTATGCCGAACAAGTCCCTCTCCTGCCTTCCTCCTGTCAAGCCAATCCTTGGTGTCTGGAAGGCTGAGCCAGCACTGAAGGAGCAGAGCTACCCTGCTTCTTTGCAAGTCTTTCTGACTTCGGGGTCCTCTGACACCCACAGTACTGCCCTTTGTTCAGTCTTAAGTGGGAATGAAGAAATTCCTAGCTCCACTCTCCATGTCTTGTTTGGTGAGAGGATTGGAAATGACTCCCACAGGTTGTTTCCTTAACTAAGATGGGGAGCATCGGAGTTACGGGAGGGGGAGAAGGACTCAGCATTCAGCCTCTGAGCATATCTGCCTATGGAGGACTTTGCTGGGTCCACACCCCGTCCCCTCACTCATTCAATTGGGGGGGCAGTCTCAGTTCCTGTGACCAAAAGGCAGATGAGCCATCCATTTACATTCTGAGAACAGAGCTAAGAGCACCCTAAGGAAAGGCCCTGGACTGAGAGGAGACCTAGGTTCAAGAAGCCCTGCCTCTCACTGCTGTGAGACCTTGGCTAAGTCATTCTTTTCCTCTGAGCTTCAACTTCCTCATGTGTAAAACAAGAAGGTGAATCAGGTGGTCTCCAGTTAGGTTCTCCTCTGCTCTGGGGCACTGGCATCTGGACACCTTGTGTGGCATCAAAATGCAGAGACGTACAGAAATGAAGTCCCCCTTGCTCCCTGCTGGACTGCCAACCAAGTTTTCCTGGCCCTGGATCACATCAAAGCCTCACCGCCTTGACACTCCTTCCCCAGCCTCCCCTCCCCCAGATCTCTGGATCTGTGAGCAGCTGGTAGGGGAAGGAGGGTCACAATCACATAAATCCTCCCACCAATCTGCCCTCGGCTTTATCTATCTCCCACCAATCTGGGATTATCCTATCCAAGGTTCAATCTCCTTAGGAGTGTGCATATATGTGCATGTGTGTCTGCGTGTGTGTGTGTGTGTGTGTGTGTGTGTGTGTAAGGCCTGAAGGCCAGGGACTCATGGCCATTCACCTCCTCTTCTGTACTGTAGCCAAAACAGGAAATTCCCTCACAGACACCTCAGCAACCAAGCACACGCACCCCACAAGATGTAGAGTCAGAACTGGGGTCACAGGATTCTTATGATTGGTACTAACCCCTTTCCCACAAGTCTCTGAGGTGTTGCTGCTTTCTCAGAAATGGGAAACCTGGGAGGGAAAGGATGTGGTGCCCGCCCTGCACAGGCTTCCAGCACAAAAATAGCATATCAATAAATACCCACAGCCGGTGTGCCTTCTCACAAAGACACACAGCACACAGACCAGAGCATGGGCCTTGTGGACAGAAGTTCCCCCACACCCTCACAGCTGGCTCCCTCAGTGTCCCCAGTGCCCATTTCCCAGCCTCCCCCTTCCTGACCTGGCCCTTCCTGTGGGAAGCTCAGCTTTGTTAGCTCACCTGGGCACACCTGCCCCCTCCCCTGAGTCCAGCTGTGCTGTGTTTACCTGGCAACTAGGTAGGAGCCTCTTCCCTAGCTACCACCCACCAGGTGATAAGCCCTCCCAAGGGCCTCCCAAAGAAGAAGGGGCTATTTATACCCCAGCTGGGGATGGAAGATCTGCTTTCACCAACCAGACAACTGTTTCAAGTCCATTTCTCACTAACAGCCAAGACCCCCCCCTCCAAAAGGGCCCTCTCCCACAAACCCAGTACTTTTTTTTTTCTTTTAATTTCTAAAGACAGGGTCTCACTATGTAGCTCTGGCTGGCCCAGAACTTGCCATGTAGATCAGGCTGGCCTGAAACTCGGAGATCCACCTGCCTCTACCTCCCAAGTGCCATGATTAAAGTGTGTGCCACCATGCAGGACAAAATCCAATACTCATGTGGGTGTAGGCCTGAAGCCCTGCCACTCCTGGCTCCACACCTGTTCCCACAGCCTACCCTCCCTGCTGCAGGCTGATGGGAATGTCCATCTCCAAAGTGGGAGTTTGATCTAGAGCACATGGAGAAGGATAAGCCAGCCAGAGGAGCCCTCATAACCAACCCCAAGAGGCCACACCCTGCTCATGGGACTGATCCAGGGACAGAAGCATCTCTGGAAACTCAGCAGAGCAAAGAGGAAATGTGGGTTCAATATCCATAGGCCAACTTGAAATATCACCTAATAATGTAGCACACCTTCTAGACTCTGGGATGACAAAAAACGGGAGCAAAGACCAGGCTGAGTGTACTTGTTAAAATAGAACTTGCAATAGGAGAGCTTCCTAACAGCTGACACAGCGTAGAAACACATACACACACACACACACACACACACACACACACACACACACACACATCACATCACATCACATCACATACATGAGCACATACTCCCAAGGGGCAAGTGGCAGGAGAAAAGACTTGGTGGGGTACAAAGGCAAAGTTTGGTTACAGGTATCTGTTCTCCTTGACTGCTTTGGGTCTGCTTCCTTAACTTCCTAGTATGGGGCTCCCCCTGGGAGAATGAAACCCCTCATTTCCTACTGAAAACTTTTATCAGTCTCTCTGGATTCTGTCAACTGTAGCAAGGGCCACTGTGGGAACTCAGTGTCACCTGGGAGGTCTGGAGCAGACTGAGAGAATCATTACCAGAGAGCCCTTCCCCCTTCAGCCCCCTCTGTCCTCTGGAAGGGCTGAGCTGAATAGGCAGCTGGAGGGGACAGGCATAGGGGAAATGTTCCCAGCTGGCACTGTGCCCCCTTAGGGCTCATGCCCATCCCAGACTCTGTCACCTCAGTCCCTACCCTAGTCTCCTTTTCTGTGTCCCCCTCCAGGGCTCCGAGATGAATGGGAAAACCCAGCAGCCATGGAAGTGAAAACCTGATTTGTGAGGGGCCTCCAGAAAAGAAAAGAAGTTAGGATTCAGTGGGGACCAGGCTTATAAATGCTGCTAATTTGGCCTGGCAGATGCTCACATGCGTGCATGCATGAGCATGTGCTCACCCTGGATCCCTAAGCCAGTCCATATCCACACACTGGCCCTCCCCTCCAGGCTATAGCTGTTCTTGCTGGCTGGGATGGGTGTTAAGGGAAGGCAAGGGAGGACATCCAAAGCATTTGAAGTTGGAGTGTTAGAAGCAGACCTAATTTTCTTAGATCCACACCCCATCTGTTTGGTCTGTTTCCTCCCAGGAGGAGATGGATGGTCAGCACAGTTCTCTCCTCATGTGGGGAAGGAGTAGAGGCTGGGACAGATTTCTCCAGTCCCAGACAGTGCTGAGCAAAGGTTTGCTGAAGGCATTTGGGGGAATCCAGGTCTCAGGGAGGGCTTCCTGGGATTCACAGTCTGAGAGAAAACAAAAGCAGATAGATAGCCAAAGAGACTAGGAGGCTGTCTGATTCTTTATGTCTGTCCTCAGTTGCCAGCCCAGGCTTGGGACATCTGCAAGGCTGACTGAGAAGAAGAAACAAAGAAATGTGACCTGTGGGATGGAGGCCACCTCATAGCCACCCCTGCCTCCCTGGGCACACTTGGTGGGGTCAAGCCAGATCGTCCACAATGATGTCAGCCTGCCCTTGCTTGCTGCCCCCAGGCTCATGTGCAGCCTGGACCCTGCTCTGCTCTGATGCCCCATGGCTCTGTTTTGGAGTGCTTCCTGGGAGACAGGAGGGGAGCCTGTGTGATCTCAGAAACCAGCACAGAGATGACAGTCCAGCAGGCCCAGCTGCCTGTCCTCAGGGCAGTATCACCCCTCCCCCACCTCCCAGTCACCCAGCCAGTGCCACAAAAGAGTGCCTTGGTACCTCTTGCTCCCCTCTGACACAGGTGTCCAGTCTGCTCATCACACCTCCCCTTAGCATGGCCTGGGGACACATTGGGGAGTGGGGGAGGGGTGCATCTGCTTCTCTCAAAGGTCAAGCTTACTCTGCCAACTGTTCTTTTCCTTCAAGAGAAATGCGTGAGTCTACAGCAAGAAAGAGTTACGCTAGGGAGAGGGACTCCTGGTGATGACAGGAGGTAGAAATTGGCTCAGTGTCCTGGGGGGGGTCAGACCCCCTGCCACTTTTAAGGTTGCCCTCAGCTCCCTGACCTTGCAGAGCCCAGGACTCACCCCTGGAAGCGTCTTCTGTTCGTGCAGGGCACTCTGGGCCTTCAGGGCTGAATCGCGGGCACAGTATGTCAGGAAGGCACATCCTGAGGAGGCACAGAGGCAGAGAGACAGGGTAGGGGTGAGTCCCTGGTCTCCTCTCCCTAAGGGGCTCCCCCAGGAGATGGGACTGGGGAGTTTCTTCCCTTATTGCAACCTTCTACCTACTGGGTTGGGGAGGCATCTGGGAGGAGAAGAAATTCTGCCCCAGAGGTGGGGCAGAGTCCTGGTAGTGAACGTTGAGCAATTGAGAGACAGGGCTGGGGATATTGAGGGTTGTGATGCCCAAACATCTCAGGAGTGTGGTTCTCCTTCTCGCTGCTTCCTTCTTTCCCCTTTTCTCCTCCCTCCATCTTGGCTATCATCACCCTCTCCTCTTCCATATTTGCCATTTCCACATTTTTTCCCATCTCCTCATGTCTCCCTGATGTGGAAAGTGCACAGAGAAGGGAGAGGAAGAGTGATTAGGTGGAAGTGCTTTCTCCAGGCTCAGAGAAGGCCAGGATCTGTGTGGCCTGGATCCGGAGTGTGGCCTGCAGGCCTAGTGCCTGGAGCTCTCCAAGTGCTGACTGTGGAGCCGGCACTGCTTTGCAGACAGCCTTGAAGAGACACGGGCATATTTCAACTTTCTAAGTCCTCCACACTTCCCAAGCCTTGTCCTGTCTCCATCCTCCATGCTCCGGTCCTCTGTTCTCTCTCTAGTCCTGGGCTGCTCTCTACTCTTTCTAGGTTGAGCATCTGACCCGCCATCCCAACGTCATCTGGGGCTACTTACATACTTGTGTTGCCAGTCTTGCCCAATCTCTCTCTCTCTGTCTCTCTGTTTCTCTCCCCTAAAACTTGTACTTCTGACCCTTTTGGAGTTTATCCCAGGACACACCCTCCACTTCTGGAATGCAAAGTCCTCTTTGGCCCTCCATTCTCCAGTTCCATCACTCTGAGTTCTAGGCCAGCTCCTCTATCCACAGTCCTCAGCCTCTGAACTCTGCTACTGTATCAGCCCTTCCCAGTCACTCCATCCCTCCAGCCCAGCTTCCTCTAGCCTCCCTACCTCCCAGCCCACTCAGTGTGGTTGCTCCAGCTTGGCCTGACCCCTCACCCTTGTGCAGCCCGGTGTACTTGTCCTTGATGACAGTCAGCTCGAAGATCCGACCAAACTGCTCGAAGATGGGCTTCAGGTCCTTTTCCTCCAGATGCCTCGGGATCTGCCCCACAAATAGCTTGATGGCATCTGGCTCCTTCATTGGGGCGGCCCAGGAGGAGGGGCCGGGGGGGAGCAAGGAGAAGCCCAAAGGCTAGGGGAGCTGCCCAACCAGGAGGCAGGTGGTGGGAGCCGGGGCCCAGCCGGACCGGCTTTCCCTTTGGCCCCCAACCACACTGCCGAGCAGTGGAGCCGCTCTTCACACAAAGGAGGCCTGGGGAGTTGAGGGCTGGGGGTCAGGGGTCCAGGCAGACACTGTTATGCCACCAGGGGGCATAGCCCAAACAAACGATCTCCCTCCCAGAGATATGGCAGATAGCCCAGGATGGGGGTCAGGGTGGCCAAGCCCAGGAGGGTTTGAGTGGTAGCTGGAGCTCTAAGAGCCAGGATCCAGGGTGGAGATGCCAACAGAGAGGGGGAAAGGGCCAGAGGAGGGCAACAGAGAGGACCAGGGACTAGGGGCCTGATATGGTTGCCAGCAGCGCATGAGGGGGTCCCTGCTTCTGATGTGAGGCAGGTGGCTCGCTCGTTGGCTTCCCCAGAGAGGACACCTCTCCTGTGGCTGATCCTTCTGCTGGGTCTGAAGATCCCTGATGCCAGATGCTTGATCTCTGATGGCGACAGGGCTTCGGGGGTCCCTTCTGCCTTGCCCCCCTTCGGGTCCTCCCTCGGCCCCCCTCCCACCCCCACCCCGTCCCCCGGCCTGAGCTGCTGCCGGCTGCTCCCGTCGCTAGGGCTGCCTGCTTTCCCGGTCACCTGGGTCCCGGAGCTCTGCTCTCCGGCCGTGCTCTCCTCAACAAAAACCTCCCCCCTCTACACCCCCCTCCCCACTCCCACCTCCTTTCCCCTGACATCGGTGATGTCAGTCTCAGGGGTAGAATACAAATTCTGTACCCTGGAGAGGGACGCACAAGCCAAAAGAGAGCCACGCCCTCTTTCTAGCTCCATCCGCCCCGACTCCCTTCTCGCCTCAGAAGAGCAGCTGGTCCTGTTGATAACAACCCTTCCCCTACCTTACTCCTCAGTCAGGAGTTGGGGAATGCACTAAGGTGGAGAATTTATAGAGGAGCCCTAACGTGGGGTCCATTGTTCCGGGGGCTGGAGCTGTCCCCGGTGCTGGAAGAGAAGACCCAGGAGATGGAGCTGGGGGTGGGGAGTTGAGGAGAGCCTGGTTTGGGGGGAGCCTTAGAGTGAGGACCCAAGGAAGGAAATAAGGAAAAGAAAACGAGAGGGAGGGAGGGAGGGAGGGAGGGAGAGAGAGAGGTTGAAGGGCAGGAGGGAGGTGTAAATGAGGAAGTGGTCAAGCAGTTGCAGGGTCTGGGGGGAAATAGCAAAAGGGAACCAGACAGGAAAAAGGAGAAGGAATGTGGGGAAGGGAGCAAGTTGGGATGAGTGTAGCAAGATAACTGCATATTTTTCCAGAAAAGGAAGCAAAGCAAACTACAGGATTTTGGCATTTGCAGACACCCCCTTCCTTCCCTCTGGGAGGTTTGTGTGTATAAGTGCAGTGGGCAGTGAGGCAGAAGTGGGCAGGCAGCGACTCTCACTTGTAAGATGCTTGAAGACCGAGACACTGTTGCATTCAGCCTTTCACCGTTCACAATGTCTAGCACTGTGTCTTGCTCTTAGGTCTTAACAAACACTTCATGCAAAGAACCTGTGACAAGTGTAGATTCCAGATCTCTTCTGTGGGGAAAAAAAAATCACGGCTGTCAGGCTCCTGTTTAGGGTAGAGTAGCCCAGTCACACCTTCCTTTTCTTCCTTTAATTGGGTTCCTTGGGTGGAACTCACTCTAAATGAATCAGGTGGCAGAGGATCCAGAAAATACATCTAAGGGCCATTACTCTCCAAAACAGTTACCTTCTAAGCATGATCTGTAAGGCCCAGGATCTGGGGATGTTGAGCCCTCTGTACATGGGGCCCTCGCACAGCACCTGCTCAGTACAGGGAGCATCTGCTGACATCAGATCTCATTGGTGGCAGCCCTGGCTTTGCATCAGTGCCCCACTCTTACCCTGCTTCCCTGTTATTCTGTTCTCCTTCCCAGGGTGGGGCTGATGTCTCCACAGTGGTGCACGTGTCTCTGAAATTTCCAGCTGCATCTCAGGGGCTCCCATTCCTGAGTTATCACACCTTGGATCCTCTTCTGGAGCAGAAGTAACAGTACAGTGTGGCCCCTCCCCCAGTATGATATGGATTATACCATTATCTCCAAATACAGATGAAGAAACCAAGGCACAGAGTTGTTAACGAGCTTGCCTAAGGTCACACAGCTAGAAAAATACCTAGATGAGATTCCAGCCTGGGCAGGATGAGTCCTGAGCCCCTGCACTGAACTCCCACACCCAGCATTCCTCGTGGGAATAGAGACAACGTTTGCATTCCCTTTCTTCTCCAGTGTTCACTCCAGTTTCCCACTGCTCCATTCCCTACTGACCACAGCCTTCTTCCACCTGGGTTTCTGAGGCCTGGAGCCACATTCTGGCAGGTTGTGTATCTTTGAGTAAATGTGTATGTGGAGACTTGAGTACACGTCATCATACAAATGCCCAGGTCCTCCCAGTAGAGTGCCCTAACATGGGGTGAGATAGGGGAGGTAGTAGAGACTCCGTGGGGAGTAGCCAGGATATGCTGGTAGTCCCATGGAGCCAGGAAGTGCAAGTCTGTCTTTCTCCACAGTAACTTTCCATTCACCTGCCCCACCCCCACTGCTCCTTTCTTGCCTGCTAATCTGATCTCAGTATTTATGGAGATGCTAAACAGATCACGCCCTGTGAGCTTGGAGAAGGGAAGACCCAATGGGCTGGGCCTGCTGATCTCATTACTCTGTGTCTTCTCAGCAGATCTGTCGCCCTGCTGCTCATTCAGGCTTGGGCCTAATCATATTAATTGAAATATTAAACATTCACAAAAATGAATTTCAATGAACTCCTCTCACTGCTCCTCCCAGTCAGTAATTGGGGAGACAGCTGCAGACAGCAAAGTATTTCCAATCCTTTGCTTGGTTTGCAGTTCCAATTGGCACTGTCAATCTGAGAGTGAGAGGACTCTCATGAGACATTCCGGCTGAGTGACTGTGACACCCTGTGAGGTGAAGACTTGGGAGGGAGGGAGAACGACACGGGACTGATGGATGTGCCCTGTGACTCAGGGACCCATCCCTGGAAGCTTCTCTCACAGAATGGGAGGCTTAATTCCTCCAGGATACTTTTCTGCCCACCATCTCCAAGCTCACTCTTTTTATTCCTTTTCATTCAGAACTAAGCTGCCCTGTATTAAAAGGTTACTGACTTTAAATACATTATTATTGTTATTATTATATGTGTGTGAGCACATATACCATGGCTTGCATATAGAGGTCAGAAGACAACTTTATGGACTTACTCCATTAAAATTTTTTTCTTGTTAACATGTATTTACTTATTGTGCATGTGTACATATATGCAAAGTACATGCCACGGTACACATATGGAGGTCAGAACACAGTAGATCCTGTACTTCCACCTTTATGTAGGTTCTGCGAATCTAACTCAGGTCGTGAGGTTTGTGTAGCAAGCACTTTCAATCCAATAATTCATCTCACTGGCCTGTTTACTGACTTTTTTGCTTTGTTTTGTTTGAGTCAGGGTCTTACTGTTGTAGCCCCAGTCAGGGTCTTACTGTTGTAGCCCCAGCTGCCCTAGAACTCACTATAAAGATCATCCCACACTGGCCTGGATCTCACAGCAATCCACCAGCCTCTGCCTCCCAAATGCTGGGATTAAACCACCAAAGTATGCCACCAAGTCTGGCCTGTTTATTTACCTTTTTTGGGTGTTTTTGCTATGGAGTCTCCCTGTAACCCCAGCTGGCCTGGAACTCATCTATGTAGACCAGGCTGGCCATGATCTCACAGAGATCTCCCTTGCCTCCACCTCCATGCCTGGTCTTTGTTTACTGACTTTTAAAAAATTATTTATTTGTTTATTTATTTGGGTCAGGGTCTTGAGTATCCCAGGCTGGTCTGGAACTCACTGTGTAGCAGAGGATAAACTCCTGATCCTCCTGCCTCTACTTCCCATGTGCTAGGATTACAGGCAAACTGCCACATCCAGCTTGAGAAATTAGTTTGGTGAAATCATTTTATGGGATCCCATTGTCTATTCCTTCTTCACCGCTGTGCTCATCCCAGACCAGGCTCCACCATGCCCAAGTGCCCCAGATTCAATAAGGAGGTGTACTTCACTGAGCAAGTGATCTCACTGGGTATTGGCCCTGCCTGAAGTGTGAGAAATGTGGAAAGATACCTCCAGGGGCCATGCTGAGCATGAAGGCAAGCCCTACTGCAATTATCCGGGCTCCTAAGCCATGTTTGGGTCCAAAGGTTTTGGGCAAGGTGGAGCTGAGAGCCACACTTTCAAGTAGACCCAGGTTGTGAAAACTCTTCCGACCTACCTAGGCACATGCCAGGCCTTACCCCCAGACACCAAGGGCTCCCAGTAGTCCTCCATGCCCTTCCTTAATAAATCTGAACCACTGGAAAAATAAAAATCATTTTATGGGGCTTGGAAAAAGGCTCAGTGATAAAGTGCTTACTGCACAAGCTTGAGGACTTGAGTTAAAAATCCTCGCCAGGTGTGGTGGTGCACACCTTTAATCCCAGCACTGGAGGCAGAGGCAGGTGGATCTCTGTGACTTCAAGGCCAGCCTGGTCTACATAGTGAGTTCCAGGACAGCTGGGGCTACAGGGAGACCCTGTCTCAAAAAGACCAAAAAAAAAAAAAAAAAAAAAAAATCCTTAACGCCCCCACAAAAAGTTGGATGCCATGGCTGTCTATAATTCCTTCACTGGGGAAGTAGACACAGACAGATAGATCCTAGAAGCTTACTGGACAATTAGTTTAGCCAGTCAGTGAGCTCTAAATTCAGAGATTCTATCTCAAAAAATAGTAGGGCCAGGGTGGTGCACACCTTTAATCCCAGCACTTGGGAGGCAGAGGTAGGTAGATCTCTGTGAGTTCAAGGCCACCTTAGTCTACATACTGAATTCCAGGCCAGCCAGAGCTATACAGTGAGACCTTGTCTCAAAAAAAGTAGAGTGTGTGTAGGGGGGCCTGGATAGATGACTCAGTGGCTGCTCTTGCAAAAGACCCAGATTCTGTTTCCAGCACCTACATGGCAGCTAACAACTGTCTGTAACTCTAATTCCAGGGGATCTGATGCCCTCTTTTGGCCTCTGCAGGAGCCAGGTACACATATGGTACATATACCATACATATATGTATTATATATATATAAAGTCTTTATAAAAAAGAAAACAGCTGGGCACAGGCCTTTAGTTCCAGCACTCAGGAGGCAGAAGCAGGTGGATTTCACATAGCCAGCATGGTCTATGTAGAAGATAGTGTGTTCCGGGCCAGGGCTACAGGGAGACCCCGAAAAAAAACCCACAAAAGAATAAGGTGGAAAGTGACACTAACAGCTGATGCTGAGCTCTTGTCTTGCCTCCACAAACATATGCACACACACACACACACACACACACACACAGAGTAAAACATTTTATTTTAACCTACTATATTCAAAATACTAATATGCAATGCACACAAAGTTGCTGAGATACTTTACATTTTTTTCTTATGTTATGTCTTCAAGATCTGGAGCATATTTTACATTTCCAACATATCTAACACAGTCACATTTCAAGTGTTCAGGACCTGAGTGGCTTGTGACAGCCACGCTGGCTTGGAGGTTCCACCTTAGTTTCTCCCAGTGAAGGTGGTTAGAGACAGGCTTCAGCCAACAGGAGCCATCACCTTTGGGTAACCTCTGGTCTTGCTGGAAAAACAGCACTTCTGACAGATGGCAGGTTATCTCCCTCTCACTATTAATTCTCCTAAAAAAAACAGATAAACAATCCAAATGATTACTAGCCCGGATGGGGCTCTTCTGGGAAAGGCTTACAGCCAGCCTCTGCCTAATTTACCTGTTTCCTGACTTGGGAACTGTCAATAGGTCCACTGCTTTTCTGTCTTGCTAGGAAAGGCCTGCAGATCATGAGACACTCTTCCAAGGCCAAATGTTGAGCCTGCTTCTCATATTTCCTTGCTTTGGGGGGGCAGTTTTTCACAAACCTTAAACCTTTTGGGGTGTTCTGCCTCCAGCCTCTCAGAAGCCCTCTGCTGGGCACCTTCTTTGAGGGCGGAGAAGTTGGTGTGTGTGTGTGTGTGTGTGTGTGTGTGTGTGTGTGTTGACAGACTCCTAAGCTTTCCAGAAGGCTATTTTCAGTGCTGGCTTTATGTTTCACTTACCCTTCTTAATTTGATACTAAAAGAACAAATCTTGCCGGCCAATTCCCTTTCTCCTTCCATATTCAGTCGAGAAAGAGAAATAATTTAGAATTTATGAGGAACCCAGGGTGAAGAGAAAATTTATCTACCTTCGAAAGTCAATCCACGAGGGGTAATTCTGCCAGGGTGTTGGTGGGTTTCAGCATTCTGAGCCTGGGAACGCTCTTGTCTTTGCAGAGCTCAGCTCCCGCCATGCTCTGGGGTGCTTTCATGTTTTAAGAACCCAAGACTTCAAAATCTAGTGTCTGTCTACAGGACAGATGGGAGGTTGGTTTCCTGGCCAGTGGAAAGAGAAGCAGCCTGGGTTTCTTTCCGCAGGCACAGCTTCCGCCCAAGCTGGGAACTGGATTCTGGAAGACCCTGCATTAGGAAGCCTTTCTCTGGTTTGCCCTAGCTAAGTAAATGCACTATTTGAGGTTGAGTGGGGTCAAGAAGAAAGGCTCATTTCATACACAATTAAGTTCAGAAAACAATCTCCATCTGAGAAAGGCTACCTTCCAGAGACTCGGAACCCTGAGTGGCCCCAGCCTTGGTCCGCCCGGTGGGATTCTGCCTCGCTAGAAAGAATCTGACTTGGGGCTGCGGGGCGGGTCCAGGGGCGGGAGGGGCAGGGGGCGGGGCCTCGCTACTCCGCGACCCGTTGCCCAGACGACTGCAGGAAGATGGAGCCTAGGCTACCCGACGGGGTGGTGGGGCCCAACCCGGACACACTGAGTCCGGAGAAACTGGAGCAGCTTCGAGACTTCAAGGTGCGTGGGTCCGCATCCCTCACCCGTTTCCATCGAGGTGACGCTCCCGGGCCTGTCCCGAGGCGGGGTGGGGGCGAGGACTCAGGGAGAACCCAGCACCCGCAGCCTGCCCCGCTTTGAAAGTGTAGGAGCCAGGTAGGGTCGGGTTTCCCATCTCCATCACAAACCAGTGCCCAGTTGCGGCACGCTTCCCTGTACTGGCACTCGGAGGGGGAGGCAGGAGGATCAGGAGTTCAAAGCCAGCTTCAGCTGCATAACAAGTTCCAGGCCAGCCTAGGCTACTGAAACTACCTGAAAAGGAAAAAGAAACAGAAACCAGCCTGGCTCAAAGGGAAACCGGAAGATGAGGAAGAAAGCCGAAGCTGACAGCTGACTCTTTCCAGCACCCCAGGAAAAGACCAGGCTTGTCCCCCCACTTCACACTGCCCTCGAGGGTTGAACCCTGGATCTGTCTCCCCAGATCCTTGACCCTCGGCTATTGCTCTCCAGATCCAGACTCGGATTGCTAATGAAAAGTACCTAAGGTCCCACAAAGAAGTGGAGCTGCTCATAAGCGGTTTCTTCAGGTAGGTGGTGTGACAGACTGCCAGGGCCACTAATGGAAAATGTACCAAATCTTGCTGACAGAAGACGAATACATGAATAAAAGTGCCCCTCTTTCTTTAGATACTCTCTGATAGCAACTCTCTGGGAGGATCTTCTGTCTGAAGCCAGTCAGAGCTACATGGTGACCTTAGAACAAAACAAAGAAACTCCAGAACACCAAAACCAGGAGACCCTCACTTCTCTCCAGCTTCAGAAATCTATAGACAGGCCATCCCTTCCTTTTCCTTCCTTCCTTCCTTCCTTCCTTACTTCCTTCCTTCCTTCCTTCCTTCCTTCCTCCCTCCCTCCCTCCCTCCTTCCTTCTTTCCTTCCTTCCCTCCTTCCTTCCTTTTTCCTTCCTTCCTGACGGTGTCTCCTTGTAGCCCTAGCTAGCCTGGAACTTGTTATGTAGAGCAGGCTGGCCTCAATCTCACAGAGATCTGTCTACCTTTGTGTCTCAAGTGCTAGGATTAAAGGTATGCACCACCATGCCCATTCACTTTTTTAAAAAATTAAATTTATTTTTATTTTATGTGTACGAGTGTTTTGCCTTCATATATGTAAGTGTACTCGTGTGTGCAATGCCCCCAGGGGCCAGAAAAGGGTGTCAGATCCCCTGGAACCAAAGTTACATATGGTTATTATCCACCATGTGGGTGCTGGAAACTGACCTTGGGTCCTCTTTACCGCTAAGCCATCTCTCCAGCTCCCAAACCATTTCCTTTGGCTTTAAACTGGTTTATTTATTTATTTATTTATTTACTTATTTATTTATTTATCTATTTATTTATTTAGACAGGGTCTCATGTAGCCCAAGGTGGCCTCAAACTTACTATGTAGCCTAGGTTGGCCTTGAACTTGTGATCCTCCTGCCCCCACCTCCCCAGTGTTAAGCCTATAGGCACACACCAGCCCCAGGTTGCTTTGGACTTCTTTTTCTTTAAAAAGTTTTTTTGAATTATTTATTTTTATCTTATGTGTATGAGTGTTTTGCCTGAATGTATGTAAGTGTACCATATGCATACAGTACCCATGGAGGCTAGAAGAGAACGTAGGATCACCTGGAACTAGAGATACAGATAGTTGTTAGCTACCACCATGTGGGTGCTAGGAACTAAACCCAGACCCTCTGCAAGAGCAGCCAGTGCTCTTAACTGCTGAGCCATCTCTCCAGCTCCAGCTTTGGACTTCTTAAAATGTTAGAAAGTTCCTAAGACTGAACCATTTCTAACTCTGGGATTTGTGGCACTATGAACTTTCTTTAGTTATCTGTAAATTCTTAAAAATATTAATGTTTGGGGCTGCACTGCATTAATGAGACCCTGTCTCTAAAAACCAGAAAAGAAAAAAAATTCTTGTGGCAAAAGCATACTATTTTCCAAGTGTAGTGGTAGTCATGTATTTCCATCGTTTCAGAGGCAGAGGCTGGAGTTCAAAGTCAGCCGTGGCCACATGTTGAGTTCAAGGTCATGCTGGTGACTGAGTGAAACCCTCTCTCAAATAGCCAAAAATCAATAAACAAACAAAAACCAAATTTCCAGTGTATCCCAGGGCATGTTCCTTCCTCTCCCACACAGTTATTTCCAAATGAATAGAAAAATCTAACAGGGTGACAGGCAGAGAACCAGAGGGAAAAAAATATCAAGGAGCAACAATGGAAGGGAACAACAGAGTGAGCTCAAATTCCGTTTGGCTTACAGCTAAGTCAGCACCACTAAATAATAATACTGGCTCCCACTTCCAGGGCCTGCTTTGTTTCCCTACATCAGTAGTCACCAAGCTGTATTGTGATCGTGTTGTCAATTTTCATTCCTGTTACCAGTCAATGCTCCAAGCTGGCGGCTCCATGTGTGTGTCCCCAGTATCCACATCATGTATGACATCTTGCTACCATCTTGCTGATCTGCCCACCAACTCTATAAAAAATAGCTTATTATTTTTTTTAAGCCAGCTGATATGATTGTTTCCATTTTACAGGTAAAGAAAAGTTAAGCTTGGAGAGATGAAGCACATTCCTCAAGTTGCTGACTTAGGAGTCAACCCCCTGGTTCTTATGTATAT